GGTAATAAGCATAAGAAGAGTAGGTTAATCTTGTTAAAAAAATTAGAAAGTATATAAAATACATTTTCGTTTATAATACGTCCAACACTGTCGCAAATCTTTCGCCTAGAATGCACAGCATTACTTACTGCCTTTTATAGTTATAAACGAACATTCATTAGAAAATGATTTGCAACGGTGTTGATATTACAACTGTGTTCGTAGCATATAGTCGGTTGAATTTTGTGACTATATGCTATATAGAGAATTTTGTGAATCGTGACCATGGATTTTATACTTTTTTTTTTTTTGGTGGAAATAGATTTTATATCATAATTAAGCCGAATTAGGTTTATACCGGAGCAGACCGGACCCTGATACAAGTGTTTTGCGATTTCATCAGCTCTAACATTATCGGAACGAGAGATAAAAAGAAAAATGACGAATTTGAGATCTATGGCGAGCTTGACAATGTCTTGCATGATTCCATAGATTTCGGTATGATAGCCTCGATCGGAGATGAGGCTGATCAATGTTTTTGAATCTGAGACGTTGCTCAGATTGGTGACGCTTCGAGTCCGCAAACGAATCGATTGAATTTAGATCATGGCTTCACGGACTGCAAGTGCTTCCGCCATCAGAGGGCTTCCCACCGGAGTGACAAACCGATCCCCTTGAGCAAGAGTGCTCGTTGTCGCGGAGGATCCAACCTAGGCCCGCCGCTAGTGAATCCGATCTCCAGGCTGCATCTGTGTAGCATATCAAGGGTGATTGTGTGTGGGTCTCACGTAAGTGAGATGCTTCTTTAGTCACTACTGTGCATGTGATTAATTCTAGACACTCTTTCGCATCTATAATCGCCTTGTTGATAGTCTCTTCCGCCGTAAATGCTCTTGCATTGAAAACTGTATTGTTTCGTGTGAGCCACATGGTCCAGAGATGCCTATTGGGGGGGGAGACACGTCATAAGCTTTGATTGTGTTAAGCCGGTGGGGATGTCCACTATGGCTAGGGGATTTTATATTTTACTATAGATTTACAATCAATAATGCTTTTAGCAGAAAATTATGTTGGATTCTGAAAACTTATATGTAAACTTCACTTTAGTAAGATATTGTCCCCGCTGGATTAAACTCACATAAATTTTTCTTTTGTAAAAAATTTTAAAATATTTCATACTAATTAGATTAGATAATACTTATATCTAAAACATTCATAAAAAAATTGATGTGACTATTTATCATGTTTTATGAATACATGTCAATTTATTTTGCAATTAATTAAGAATTAAAAAGTAATCTATATAAAAACATTTTTTTTTATCAAAGATGTTACAGATAAATCGATATGATCCTATCCGAACAAGACCAAAATAATTTATATAAAAACCGAACCATATTTTTTCCAATATTAAATGGATACAACCCCTTTTTTATATTCGACTAACCTAATCTATAATATGATAAAACGTCAACATTCTTCAAAGAGTGACACGTGATCTACTATTTTATTGGTACTTATCCCTTCAAATATTTTTTTAAAAAAAACACTTTTCCACGGAAAATCAGATCGAGCACTTGTTCGATTAAAATCAAAACGAGATGTCCTCTCCCTTTCGTTCCGTGTTGAAGAGATCCGTGGCTTGTGTGCTGTGAACATCGAAGGTATTCTCATCTTCTTTCTCTCAACTAGGTATTGATTTTGTTCTCACTACAAGATAACACAGTTTTGGCGTCGAATTTTTGCGTCGAATTTTGGCCGACGCAAATATAGCATCGATTTAGCGTCGAAACAACGTCGAGAATCTCAATTCGACGCTAAATCAACGCTACATTTAGCGTCGCCACAATAGCGTCGAAAACAGCGTCGGATGTTGCGTCGAAGACGGTAGGTAGGTAACACGTTTTTAATGAGTTCACCTATTTTTATAAGACCGACGCAAAATCGTAGCTAATTCGAAGCAAAGTCGACGCAAATTAGGTTGATGCTAATACGATGCTAATTCGATGCAAAAATTAGATGCAAAAGCGCTGCTAAATTCTCTTATAAATACCTCACCAGACACCGCACCCACAACAAAAATCATTGAAAAAAAAAATTTCAAAAATTTTCCGTAGTTATATTTTCTGAAGAAAATGGGCGA